TAGATTTCACATATTTCAAAAGGTGACACATGAAGTGGTTTTCTATCTTAAAATACCTTGATAACAAAAGTATTAGTTTTGAAACGTTTATTAAAATGACATCAAGTCATTCTTAATTATTGTTCAAAACTCCTAGATATCTTGCAAAACCATTATTTTACCTTATTGGATCAAACTATACTTATGCGCATATGGTCATATATATGGTAGAGATTATAGTTTTCACCCTTCATTTAGTTTCCAATACTCTTGGGTAGCAAGAGTACATAAACTTATGTAAACAACCAATTACCTTTCAGTTTACTATCATAGGGATAGTTAGAAGATATCAAACATTATTACTACTACAAGGAATCACACAAGAGTCAGTTCATTCATGAGTCTATACCAATACCTTACATGATACATGAGTACACTTACTTAGGATTACATGATACATGAATATATTTACGTATACTTACCTGTTACACGAACACACTTACATGAATATCATACAGGAACACTATTACATAAGTGCATTATCCTGTATTCACTTACCTGTTTACTTGTACTTAGGACTACGAGGATGATTTATTAGTACTTACTGTGTAAATTATCTTTCCTATCTCGGTTCAATGGGATAGCTCGCCGAGACTTACCATTCTGAACCCCACTGATTAGCACCAGTGGTTGATGACCATCTACGGAGGCCTAAGGTTACTACTTATACTAGGAAGATCGATAATCGGGGCTAACCCCTCCACCCACCTGCTGCTGCTACAGAGGACAAGTGGACAATCTTCGATTGTTCATAAGGTTATACTTTTCGCTTATTGCGATGTTGTGTTACTCCTAGTACCCAGTGATGACACTTACATTAATACTTGTTCTGGACAATCTTCGGATGTTCATTAGGTTACATATTTCGCTTAATGCAATGTTGTGTTAGTCCTAGTACCCAGTGACAACACTTACAATAGTACATTTTCCTGTTTACTTTATTTTGTGATACTTTCACATAAAATGATGAGTTAGACTAAGTATTTTAGTACTAAACAATTGAAGGAAAAACTATCATTTTACTAACAAAACATTCGGGTCATGGTAGAAGACTACATTATCATAACAAAACATTCGGGTCTTGGTAGAAGACTACATTATCATAACAAAACATTCGGGTCTTGGTAGAAGACTACATTATCATAACAAAACATTCGGGTCTTGGTAGAAGACTACATTATCATAACAAGACATTCGAGTCTTGGTAGAAGACTACATTTCATACTTATAGAAAGCAAGGGATTTTCTAGGGTTTTTCATACTTACATCAACATTTTCATTAAAGGTTTACATGGCCTTCATAAAAGATTTTCATAAGCCAGACAATGACACCTTAATTACCTATGAATTCACCAGCTTTAAAACTGATACTCGCTTTCAAAATAACTTGTATTCTCAGGTCATCAGTTAGACAGGTGAGATGGCCAGGTTATCGAGATGGAGCACAGACAAGACTCGCCTTATTTTGATTATTCATTTTATTGTTGTACATTAAGAAAGAACACACATGTATTAAAACTCTACTTATAATGCAATGGATGATGTTGTTGCTTGTTTACTATATTACACTATTGTGATACTGTACATGATGTCCTCCACCCCTGAACGTTTCCGCCGTTCGTGGTTTTGGGGTGTGACAGATTTGGGTTCAACCATTGAGATAAATGCCAAAAAAATGACATTCATTTTGAATACTTATGGCAAAACGAGTTTGTACACCAGCATTGGGATTTCCAATAACTTGGTTCAGAGGGTGATCCTTGGTCCATATGTGTAATCTTGGAAGTTCTTGAGCAGCAGAAGATCCTGTATCAACAATGAGGTTGTGTTGTTCCCCTTGGATAACTTGAATTTGAGGATGAAGCTCCCCCTGAACTTCTGAACCGGAAAGGTTGACGTCATCATCAGGATGGAAATCGAAGAAATTTACATCATCATCGTTGTTGATAGGATTAGAGTCAAATTCAGAAGTTGTCTCTTGGAATCCATCAACATTTGATTCAAAGGAAGGTTGACCATTCTCCCCCTTAACCTGAGAAGGTTGAAACGGTTCGGAATCAAATGGAGGAAAACTAGGTGTCGGACCTAACACATTTTAAGAGACCGGAGTGACGGTTGATAGAGTTTTTCTTGGTTGAGATTCCGAATCAAGAGCTGTTTCTGAAGGTCCAAACATGGTTTCAAATTCAACTTCATAGATCATCTATATGTTCGGACATCATGAAGCTGGAGCATCAGACTCCATGATGTGGGTTGTAACATGGGTTAGGTCAGAATTCTGAATGAAATTGTCATCAGAAGTAACATCAAAGCTTTCTTCTAGAACACGAGTTCACCGATTAAGAACTCGATAAGCCTTTGATTTAGCAGAGTATCCAACAAAGATAGCTTCATCAGCTTTGGGTTGGAATTTTATAAGCTGATCATGATTGTTCTTCATGAAGCATCTACATCCAAAAACGTGCAGAAAGGAGAGACTTGGTTTCCGACCGTTCATGGCTTTGTAAGGTGTCTTATTGAGGTGTCGATTAATGATACTCCTATTATGAGTAAAGCATGAAGCTAAGACAGCTTCAATCCAAAGATAGAGTGGAAGATTGGCAAAGTTGAGCATGGATTGAGTAGCTTCAAAAAGTATTTGGTTGCGTAGTTCTACTACACCATTCTGTTGTGGAGTGTATGGAGTAGAAAATTTGTGACCTATTACCCTTCTCGGTGAGGAAGTTCTCAATGGTAGAATTTGTGAATTACGAACCATTGTCACTTCGGATTCGCCTTACTAGGAGTTTGATGAGAACTTCAATTCCTTTGAGAAAGTTGATGATTTCGGATGTTGTTTCTGACTTGAACCGAAGGAAGAAGACTTAGGTGAACTGATATGTGTATTTATATATATATTTTTATGCACTTTATCTTAATATTTTGGCCTTATTTATTCTATTTTAGAACTAAAGAGTACTCATAATACTTTGAATTATGTTTTGCAGCTATTTGTTGGTGATAAAGCACAAAAGAAGAGACTGAAGCGGAAACCGGGCTTAGAAGCTAAAAGAAAGAAAAGAGTGCTGAGGTAGCGAGTACGCCCCGCGTACCTTAAAGTTACGCCCCGCGTACCTGCTTGCATCGGATATACTTGATCGCGTGATTATCCAGAGTATGCGCTGCGTAATCCTAAGTACGCCCAGCGTACTTAGGTCGGCCACAAAGATTATAAATGTCGATTTTTAGCTAACCAGAAAGGGGGATTCGACTTCTAACCTAATTTAGTCGACAATTAACTTCTGTTAAGCCGTTTTGAGGGTCTAGAAGGCGGCCGGAAGGCCGTTAAGCTAACGGGAGCAGAGATCTGAAGGATTGGAGAGCGGATACATGTCGGTAATCATATGGATTGCTAACGTGACCATGTTTAGCACTTCCTTATGGTACTTTTTGTATTTAGTTTCTGATTTGGGTGTAAAAACCTTTTACTTTGTGTTTATGATTGAATGAAGTTTTGATTCTTAGACTAATTGTTATGTTAAATAGGTTTATTTGTGTTTAATTTATCTTGCCAAGCTTGTTCAAAGATCCTCATGTGTTAATGATGATTATTTGCTGTTAATTGTTAAGTGAATTAAGTTGTATGAAAACCTACTTGATTTGCTTGTCTCTTATGATTTTTGATGACCATTGAGATTATAAGACTAGAAATAACGAATGTGAAACTAGGATTAACATGGGAATAAATAAGTTAATGTGTGAGCCTTTTTTGATGACCATCAACAAGAGGTTAATTAAATGTTTAAATTAACTAAATTTACAAGTCTTGCTTGATACGAACTAAACACTAGGAAGCATGCTAGTTTAATCAATTGATCACTGTTTGAATTAACTTGTTTGCTAAAGGATTAGTTATAGTGAACGCGAATCTAATCATTTTAGGAATCGGTGAACATGAATAAATGAATTTGTGTATGCAATTGTCTATGTTTTTAAGGTGGAATGTGTCTAAACCAAAGTACCTGAAGAGATTTGTTTTCCTGTTAGTTTATCGAGAATGGTTAATTAATTATTAGTTTGAGGTTTATTAAATTATGTCTTTTATTCTTTTCGTGTGACCTATAATCAGATATATTAAATTGATCCACCGTTCCCTGTGATCGACACCCGACTTACCTAAGCTATACTGTAATCTGACTAGGTACACTGCCTATAAGTGCATAGTTAGTCTAAGTTTGTTAGGTTATAAATATTAAAATTAATGGGTACTTTTGTGCACATCAAGTTTTTGGTGCCGCTGCCGGGGAACGGCTTGTCATTAATTTATTTTATTTTATTATTCGTTATTTGTTTTTAGTTAGTTTTCATTTTTTTAGTTTGATTTTCGATGATATCATTTCACTTGTCGGGAAGGTTCTTGTTTTTATGTTGCAGGAATTTGGGATTGTACACATTGCTTGACTTTACTTTTTGCATGGGTTTCGGGAATGAAAGCGACTAGGGAATTCTTGACCTGCTTAGCCTACTACTTTGTTGATTTGTCCAACTCAATCCATGAGGTGTAGTATAGCAAGGCGTATTGTGGTGGTTAAGTGGAAGACCGAGCTCTTGCTGTTCTTGACTAGTTAGGTCACTTCTTGTTCCGCTTTTAGTTAAAGGTGCAAGGAAAACAAAGGAAATATTCTAACGGGTCCCGAAAGTGGGTGTTTTCGCAAACCAATTCTTGCATGCAAAGTTTTTGATCAACCATTGTTGTTTGATCTTGACAAAGATAAGTGATTATGACATCTCAATTTTTTTTTATCACTCATCGTGAAGTCATCATTAGCTTAAGAAATTAAAAAGGAAAAATTAAATAAGTTTTAAGTCCCTAGATGAAATGATTAAAAAGAAAAGGAAATTCAATTAAAAGAAGAAAGGAAAATTTCATTACGCCCCGCGTATGTTTACTTACGCCATGCGTAATAAGACCCGAATCGCGGATGAACATCTCAGGGTGTTGGGGTTATGCCCCGCGTACCCTTGTGTTACGCCCCGCGTATATCGGCGACCAGGTATACATCTTGACCCTTTGACTTCGCTGTTATTTTCAAAACCAATTTCTTTCTCGCATAAGCTGTGACGGCGATTCTCTCAAAGAACTGTCGATTGTGCTTCGTTCTTGTTGAATTCGACACTCAAGTAAGCTTTTTCGGTCACTCTATGTTATGGATTTGTGTTTAATTCAAAGGAATAAGCTGCATTTAGCTTTTGCTTGAAATCTAGGGTTTATATATTTTTCGAATTAGGGCCGATTTCGCAAATGTATGTGTTGATTAGGGCTTGAATGGACCGATTTCGGTTAATACATTAAACCCTCGAACCTAATTTCGTCTTAATTCCGTCCCACGTTCATCGATTTAAGCTTGGGGTCGCACGCCAAGCGTACGCCCGAAAAGAAAAAAAAATTCGATTGAATGCCCTGTGAAGTTTTTATGTTAATTGTTTGCCAATCTTGAATAAATCAGGAACTAATAGGGGATTGAGTTATCTTTTTTGGTCATAAGTGTAAAGGGTGGCTTCGATTTTTTTTGTTTGTTTTCTACTGCCTTGAACCTCAAGGTTGGTTCCCCATGTGTTTGACCGTACCCCCTGTGATTTCGAGTTCTTGATTGACTTCATAAAATTAATATTTTTAGGGAGGTCCCGATTTTTCTAATAGACAAAGAATTTACAGAGATTGATTAATATTTTTAGGGAGGTCCCGATTTTTCTCCTAATACCTTTGGACCACGCGATGTTTAAAAATTAATTGTGTTGATGCAACTGCTGTGGTTATTTGGACACGGATTATGAATTTAATACAAGAAAGGGACTGGGACCAGGACACAGAATCACAAGCCTGGACGTACGCCCAGCGTAATGCCATATCCACCCCCATTTTTTTTTGGTTTAAAAATCTATTAATGCTGCCATATTTTGTTGGTTTTATGTTTTTGTGTTAATATGTGCAGATTATGGCTCGAAGGGCACAAAGAACCAACCCTCCCGAGGATGTGACCGATCATCGTTTTTTACAATTTCCGCAAACACTGAGCAATGCTACCAGGGCGCGTTATAGCACCAACTTGAGCCTGCTTCTCACAAAGGAGATTGATATTGCACCCTCTTTCGACTGGGAGTTGGCTAACAAGACTGGACTTGCTGCATTGATCCAGGAATTTTTGCAATACACACACTCGGATGCGAGTGGTGTGGAATTGTTTGTGTGTCAGGGATGGGCGCGTTTGTTCAGGATCCAGGAGCCGGTATATCGGGAGTTTTTGCTGGAGTTCTATGCTACAGTTTCCTATGATCCTAGGAAGCCACTCAATGACAGGATAGCCTTTGCTTTCAGACTGGGAGGAGTGAGCCGGGAATGCAGCGTGATAGAGCTTGCGACTCGGGTGGGTATTTACACAGCCGACGAGACGAGGAGTGTCCACTTCCCGACATTCCTTGCTGACTGTCTCACGGACCGGCCGGAGGACTATAATGAGAAAACCTTTTGGGCCAAGATTACGGGAGGAGTTTATACACCATCTACCGCTCGAGGGGGGATGATTTGGTCGACTACATACCGAATGTTGCACCGGTTGATTTCTATGTCTCTCACGCATCACAAGAATAGTGAGAGAGTGCCTTCGACGGACCTGTATTTCCTATGGGCATTAGTTACTCCAGGGAGGCACCTGAACCTTCCAGTTGCTTTAGCTGCATACTTGGGACGGAGGGCCAGGGGACTTCGGGGAGATAGCCCGATATGCGGAGGGCAGTTTATCACGTGGTTAGCTCGGTCATATCAGTTGCTGACGCGTGAGATCACGAGATCGATGGTGTTTCACGACATGAGGTCAATGAGTCTTTAGCTATTGGAGTCGATGCGTGTATTAGAGCGGGGTGGAGATGGTGTTTTGAGGGTTCGAGCAGATGATGTGGCGGATGAGGAGAGTGCCGCCGAGCCACAGTCGAGACGGGTCCTGCGGCGTAGACCTGCTCCTCGGGGAGCGCAGCAGGGACCTGAGCCTGAGATCGATATGCGCTACTTAGCTCAGGGCATTGATCGTCTTGACATGAGGGTCCAGAACCTTAGCGAGTATGTTACACATGTGGATGCGCAACAGCGGTGGCAAGGGAATGAATTGAATGCATTCTTTACCCATCAGGGATTTCAGTATTCGGTTCCCTTTCCACCACCATTCCAGTCACGATTTGATGGGGCCGGTACTTCTGGGACACAGCCACATGATGATGGAGATGACGAGTGATCCTTTTTATTTTGTTTATTTGTTTGTTTTGTGTTATTTTTAGTTTAAGTTTAGTTTTTAGTATTTGGTATGTAATTAAACTTTGATTTAGTTTGATTTAGTTTGTTTTCCATGTTGATGCTCTTTGGTTGTTTAGATTTATGCAGAATTTTCGCCCTTAGGAAGCTGGCAGTAAGTTCAGCAGTTAGGTCCGACTGTTGCTAGAGAGAGCGGTATGAGAGTTGAAGATTATAATCGAGACCCACGATTTGTCATAAGTGTGGGGTGCATATTTATTTCGTGAACGGTTCCTTTTGAAGATTGGCATTGTTACGATGTTTTGACTCTTATGATATGGATGAGCAGTTCCCATACTATCGAGTTTTATTTCGACGCGAGGAAGAAGTATTGTCCCGGCTGCCACGACATGGTTGACACTTTCCTATGTTATGGGGGATTTTTCATCGCAAGTAGAGGATGTCATTCTCGACGAGATGACGTGGTCGACACTTTACCCCGTCATGGTTATTATACATTGCATCTAATTGCAATATTTTGCACCACATTTTTGAAGATGGCGGTCTTGATTTTATTTTCCGGCACATTTAGAAGCAGCAGTTCCAGTTTTCAGTTTTTCAGCAATATTTGAAGCAACCTGTAGCAGCCCCATTCGATCTCGCCACAACTACCCAGGGGAGTCTGTTCCTTTTTCTCCCTTTTTATGTTCTTAATTTTTTTTAGCATACAATAAGGGCATTGTATGAAATAAGTGTGGGGTAGGGGGTCGGTAAAAGTAAATTATAAAAATGAAATAATAGTTGGAAATTGCTAGGTTTAGGGAAATTTAAAAATTTAAAAGAAAACTTGAAATAATAGTTTAATTTAGAAAAATCTAGTGATAATTTAAAATTTTGCTAATATTGTATGAGATGATCCGATGAGAACTCAAATGTTTAGTTGAGTCAATATACGTTATAGTGCATTTGTGGCTTCCCTTATTTTAGTGAAATCATGAAACAAAAACATAACCCCGCTCGGTTTGAAGGATGCAATATGTTTAGCAGCCTAAACCTGAAATGTATCCAGGAAAATTATTATCATTAACCAATAAAGGTTGAGGTTGAGCGCCTCTGCTTAAGCATGTAGGTTTTGAGTGAAAAAAGAGAGGTACATGTAAAAAAAAAAAAAAAAAAGAGAGAGAATTACGAAAAAGTTGGAAGAATTTTGGAGCAAATAAAGTGAAGATCAAAAGATCAAAATTCTGAAGAAATCCAAAAAGTTGAAGATACCAGAAATCAATTCAAATAAGGTGGTGAATTCAAAGAAATCAAAGATCAAATTGTTAAGAAAATGAAGAATTCAAAGAAAGCTCCATAGTGGTATCGGAAAATTGTAATTCTAGATTATGTATGCTTAGGTTGCTCAACTAAAAATACCTTGAGGTTAGGAGGTTTTCTGCGGATGGATTCGAGGGTTGCATAAAATGAGCATTGTTCGGAAAAAGTGGGCAAGTGTTTATGAAGATTGTGAGTATTTAAAGTATGGGGGGGTACTTAGGAAAATTTTTGACATAAATGCATGCGTAGAGGTCTTGGCATAATGGCTGAGTTTTAAATGGATTGTTTAGTGCGATATTGGTAAAATAAAAGTAAATTTGCTTGGGGGCAAACAAAGGCTAAGTGTGGGGTATTTTGATATGTGTATTTTTATATATATTTTTATGCACTTTATCTTAATATTTTGGCCTTATTTATTCTATTTTAGAACTAAAGAGTACTCATAATACTTTGAATTATGTTTTGCAGCTATTTGTTGGTGATAAAGCACAAAAGAAGAGACTGAAGCGGAAACCGGGCTTAGAAGCTAAAAGAAAGAAAAGAGTGCTGAGGTAGCGAGTACGCCCCGCGTACCTTAAAGTTACGCCCCGCGTACCTGCTTGCATCGGATATACTTGATCGCGTGATTATCCAGAGTACGCGCTGCGTAATCCTAAGTACGCCCAGCGTACTTAGGTCGGCCACAAAGATTATAAATGTCGATTTTTAGCTAACCAGAAAGGGGGATTCGACTTCTAACCTAATTTAGTCGACAATTAACTTCTGTTAAGCCGTTTTGAGGGTCTAGAAGGCGGCCGGAAGGCCGTTAAGCTAACGGGAGCAGAGATCTGAAGGATTGGAGAGCGGATACATGTCGGTAATCATATGGATTGCTAACGTGACCATGTTTAGCACTTCCTTATGGTACTTTTTGTATTTAGTTTCTGATTTGGGTGTAAAAACCTTTTACTTTGTGTTTATGATTGAATGAAGTTTTGATTCTTAGACTAATTGTTATGTTAAATAATTTATTTGTGTTTAATTTATCTTGCCAAGCTTGTTCAAAGATCCTCATGTGTTAATGATGATTATTTGCTGTTAATTGTTAAGTGAATTAAGTTGTATGAAAACCTGCTTGATTTGCTTGTCTCTTATGATTTTTGATGACCATTGAGATTATAAGACTAGAAATAACGAATGTGAAACTAGGATTAACATGGGAATAAATAAGTTAATGTGTGAGCCTTGTTTGATGACCATCAACAAGAGGTTAATTAAATGTTTAAATTAACTAAATTTACAAGTCTTGCTTGATACGAACTGAACACTAGGAAGCATGTTAGTTTAATCAATTGATCACTGTTTGAATTAACTTGTTTGCTAAAGTATTAGTTATAGTGAACGCGAATCTAATCATTTTAGGAATCGGTGAACATGAATAAATGAATTTGTGTATGCAATTGTCTATGTTTTTAAGGTGGAATGTGTCTAAACCAATGTACCTGAAGAGATTTGTTTTCCTGTTAGTTTATCGAGAATGGGTAATTAATTATTAGTTTGAGGTTTATTAAATTATGTCTTTTATTCTTTTCGTGTGACCTATAATCAGATATATTAAATTGATCCACCGTTCCCTGTGATCGACACCCGACTTACCTAAGCTATACTGTAATCTGACTAGGTACACTGCCTATAAGTGCATAGTTAGTCTAAGTTTGTTAGGTTATAAATATTAAAATTAATGGGTACTTTTGTGCACATCATGAACCTTTTAAAGTCATCCACAATTACAAGAATGTATTTTTGTAAGGCAAACTCTCTACTATTGAGGGTCCACACAGATCAATGTATAGAAGTTCTAATGGATCCGAGATAGTTTTTTCAATGATAACAGGATGAGCCTTCTTCAATTGATTTCCACATTCACACACGTCGCATAAATGATCATTTTCAATTTTTCAGAGTGGCAAACCTCTCACCAATTCATCCGAAACAAGATCATTCATATATCTGAAATTTAAATGGGCAAGCCGCCTATGCCATAACCAATTGATGTCGGGAGCAACTTTTGAGAGTAAGAAAAGTTGTGGTTTTCCAATGATCATGTTGATGTCAAGGGGATATATGTTTTGTTACAATTTGACTTGACCAAACATTATTTTTGGTCCTCCATCATGACATAGTTGTGTTTCTTGCAGAATTCAACTCGTCAATTTACATCGGTAAGTTGAGCCACACATATTAAGTTATGCTTCAAGTCAACTACGTATGCCACATTTGAAATGGAGAAGTTGCCATTTGTAAGGTTCCCATAACCTCTCATCTGAGAGTTGGAGTTGTTGTCATATTTCACAGAGCAGCATTTGGTGAAAGTTTGAGATATTACAAAAAGTCATTCTGCCCCGTCATGTGCATGGAGCAAGCATTATCAATATACCATATTGTTTCTTGTTCTGAAGCACATAATGCCTATAAAATTGGTGAGTTGTCGAGTTATTAGGATTCGAGTTAGGTTTTGGGACAAGGGGACGAGTCTTAGGCTTTGGTTGCGACTTAAGAGCAACAAAGGTTTTGGAAGATTTGTTCCGCGATTCTTTAGGAAACAGACATAAGGCCATGGTTCTTTTATCTATCCAATAGTTATACTCAATGAAATGAGGGTTCGTAACAGCCTTTCTCGCACAAGGAAATTCCGAAGCAGTGAGATTTACGGTGACTTCCGGAGTCACAATTTCATCGATGGGATTTTTTATTTTCCAAACAAGTTTTTGTTTTGAAGATTTTTGCGATTTTTTTTCTTGGAAATTCTTTCTTTGTTCGATGGTACACTTGATTTGAAAATAGTTCAGGTTTAAAAATCGTACCATCGGCTTTTTCTATAAAAATGGATGAAACAGTCCGAGAAGAGTTGGTTCGAGTGGATTAAGTATCTGCAACAGACTTTTTCGAAGTATAACTGATCACATTCTTTTGTTCCATTGGATTCGGAGGGTTGGGTGGTCTTTTGAGAATCTTACTGGGTGTGAAGGTGTTGTGACTCTTAGTTGGTAAGTTTGTAATCCGAGATACACTCTTTTTGGAGTTCTCAAGGAATCTAGAGTTTTGTCTTGACTTAACTTCATTTCTATGAGCATTCTGGGCTTCAACCTTGGGATCAACAAAAGGTTTCTTTTTGGAATGAGGTGAAGATTTGGAAGTTTGACCAGCAGAGGGGTTGTCACACACAGGTTTGATTGACACAAGTTTGGTTTTGGACACCACTTGTAAGTCATATTCACATGAATCAGATGAATTATCAACATCACTTTTTAACGATGTCCAAACAAACTCAGAGAATTCAAGTCCAACTATATCCAGAATAAATTCCTCAACGACACAGTTGTTTGGAGGACAGTGGTTCAGAATTTGAATAATTGTAATTGGATTACTAGAGTAAGGTTCTAAGGTCCGATTCAGGTCCATGTTTGTCAGAGATGGAAGAGGTGTGGAATCGGAACACTTGACAACGATGGGCTTAAACTCAGCAATTAAAGAAGCAAATTGGTCATAAGTCATAAGAAGGGGTGAAAATGGCAAGACTGGGGTATTCCAATGTTTCATGTTCGAAAAGTCTCCCATTAAACTTAGGTTTTGTAACTCCCTCAAGGGACTGGCAATTGATTTCAAAAACTCGCTTCTGAGACCAGGAGCTTTTGACCAAGGATGACGAAAATTTTGAGTCATCCTTTTGTTTTCCTCAAGAATATCAATGGAATTATGCAAAGCATCAATTTTAACATTAAGAAGTTTGTTGTCAGAAATTAAAACATTTCTTTCAGAATAAATGATCTCACATTTGTCGTTAAGAATGATACATTCATCTTTTGACATTACAAGTTCTCATTCTAAAGACTCTATTTTCAACTTCTTATCCTCAAAACATAATCTAAGATGACCCAGTTCACATTCCTTCACCTCACTGGCTTCTATAGTTGACTTATAACTCATAAGCTTTGTAAATGATGTTCATATCTAATTGGATTTGGGTAAGATACGGTTTACAAAGAGATAGATCAAAATTATTATCAGTAATCATAGATTTTACCTGTTGAAGGATGCTTCTCTAGGAGGATTGTTGGTCGCCATGTAACAGTAGTTTGGTTTTGCATCTTCATCATCTCTCTCTAGCCCAGATGACTAGTAGCCTTCATCACATTTAATTTCGTGTTGAGATATAAGACATATCTTTC